GAGTTCTTCGCCTCTAAAAATAAATCATTTTTTAAAAATGGCATTTACAAGTTGCCATCACGCTGGCAAGAAGTCATAAGTAACGATGGAAAGTATATTCTACAATAAATATTATTAAATGTATGAAAATTGTGTTATATTTCAATTCAAAAACAGACAGAACTTTCCGGTAGACCTAATATTATTTTTCGATACTATAATAATAATAATAATAATAGTTATTATATTCACTTACAGGGTGAGTCACGTAACTTTTAAATTGTGCATCCAATTAACAATTATTAAAGCATATAAAAGTTCTAGAGTTTTGAGGGGGGGAAGGTGAGATATGTCGTATTTATATTTTTTGTACGAAGCATAGTTTTCGAAAGTTCGTCATCATCCTTTTTCCAAATTGAGAAAAGTATATTTTTCACATCATAGGTCGAAAGAATGTTAAATTCTAAGTAGAAAAGTATAAATCTACGTTGATCCTAAACTTCATAGTTAACAAGATCTTAGTCAGTGAAGAACTTCTCTGACGATGCCTCGGGTTTCCTATTCCCCGATCGACTTATCTCAAAATCTCGTTAACTATTAGGTTTCGGATCAGCGTAGATTTATATAGTTCTACTTAAAATTTAATATCTTGTCCCCCCCCCCCTTCCAAAAGCGTTAGGACAATTACAGAAAATTCAATAAATATGAAAAGAATCAAAATTTTCGACACTTATTTCAAAGTTAATTCTACTGAACTGTTATATTAAATTATATTAAAATTATATTTCCAAATTAATATATATTTCAATAATAAAATATTTTTATTATATATTAATATATATATATCAATGAAATAAAATAGGCAAAATAAAGCAAGAAAATGAAACAAACCAAAATCAAATAGAATAGAATAAAATACTTAATTGTTTTCGTTAATAATATAATTATAATACGTTTAGTAAAACATTATAATGCGTTTTTGTACAACGAATTTAAAATTATACTAGTATTAATGATTTTTCGTTAATAATACAATTATAATAACGTTTGTGAAAAAACTGCGCTGAATCGATTTTTATAATTCAAATGTCCGCGAAGTCACGTGTACGTGGCACCGATGTTCAAATTGTGAAAAGCGGGTTCCATTAATCTGCGCGGGAACAGGTCGTCCTTAGAAATGCATTACAGGAAAACGAAATTCGTTGTGTAAAATATGAAACGTTTAGAAGAATGGAATGCTGAAGAGCGGTCGATGCGGAGTAGCGTGAAATATTTCGTGTTCTATGGAGCCATTTCTGGACGGGGGTTTCAAAGCGGACTGCCAGAGGAATTCTTTCGTCCAACAAAATTGCAGAAGGGTCGTTGACTTTCCCCAAAGGCGCCTCATTTAAATTCCCGGTCCGAGACGCACTCGACAATTAACCACACTTTACGCAACCGGGAAATTACGCAAGGGTAATCGAGCGTGCTCGGTCGACAGGGTACGGCCACATCGCTCCGAAGACCAAGAACGGGAAAGTCGTGACCATATTTTACGCCATCTTGGGGATACCCCTGATGCTGCTCTGCCTCTCCAACATTGGAGACATCATGGCGTCGAGTTTCAGGTAAATTAATGCCTCTGGAACCAAGATTAATCGCCAGTTATTCTTTGCAGCGAATATTCCACCGAACGATATTTTATTAACAAATGCACGATTTATTCTACGTAAAATTTTCTTCTTCAGAAAAAAAAATATTTTTTAATTTTTTAATAGGGTATTTTATGCTGACTATTATTTCATGTGTACTGGTGCAACTATTTGAATATTTAATATTAAATGTAATAGCACTGGGACGCTTAACACTATTTTTACTGATATTTATTTAATTTAATTTATTTTACAATTTACCGAATTAATTTTGTGACGACTATAGCAACATATTTATTAATTAATTAATTAATTTATTAATTAACAATTATTCTTGAAAATTATTAAAAAATGTTCTTTAA